GGGGGGGGGGGGGGGGGAACAGAGAGAGAGAGAGAGAGGTGTGTTTTTTCTATCCAGATTTTCACTTATTCTGGACTGCAACCTGTATCTAGTTTGCTGTTGAGTTTCAAAGGCATTTTCCATTGTTTTCATATTTCAGTTTTATTCCAGATGTCCTTCCTGACAGTTTTCTGTTGTGTTTTTTTTTTCTTTTTTCCATAGCAAAACCCATTCAATTCTTTCCTAGAATGGTGGGTGTTTCCTCCCTTCTAGCCTTTCCTTTCTTTACAGCATCACACTTTGTAACAGCTGTTGTATATAAGAAAAAGGAAATCTCTGAGATAAGATCCCCTCTCTTCCATCGGCAAATAGATTTTGCTGAGCATCTTGCTGTGACCATCTCCAGTATTAGTTCTGTGTTTCCTGAATCTAAAACTTCCCAGACTCTAGTTACCCAGCTATTTTGAGTATATTGTCACCAGAAAGTCTGAAGAGTTTTTATTCAAGGTCAATACACAACTGGACAGTCATCTAGTGTTGGTTCTCCTTCCTGAGCTGTTCCTTCAGGTGTTCACACTGCACCCTGCAAAGAATCCTGTAAAAGCAGCCTGCAAACAAGGAGATGTCACAGACGTTTCCTTCTACAAGTGGTGCTGCCAAAGAAACAGAAGAGATGAGACAGACAGCTGCGGAGTAAGAACCAGCAGCCAGAATGGAGATGAATGTTCAAGGAATAAGAAGTGAGACATGTAGGATGGGATTCAGTTGCCTAAATTTAGACGTCTAATGCCATACTGAGGGTCCTCGTGCCCTCCAAATCCGCTATGTGAGCTTGGTAGATACAAGACAGGGATCAATGATAGAACAGTGGTTTTTTAAGCAGAAGCTGGAGGCCAGATAGGAAACCTGAGGGTGCCCAGTGAGATACAAACACAGTTAGACAACTGAACCATGTTTCCAGGGAGATTCATTTACCTACATTTAGGTTTCTTAATGCAGATGTTTCTATCTCCTCTGGCTGTCTGAGCTTGCAAAGATCAAACACAGCACAGATTGTAACTGCACTAGATAACCTCTGTCAGCCAGTCCCGCTGACTGCAGTGGCTCTGCTGACTGTATTGACTAGCTCTCTAATGAAACAGCCAGCTCACATGCTGATGTCCACATGCTATGCCTAAATATGCCTATGTGAAGCGAATCCCTTCCCTAGATGCTACGATCACTCGGTGGATAAGGAATTGGCTGGATGGTCACACTCAAAGAGTTGTGGTCAACAGCTTGATGTCCCAGTGGAGAGCAGTGATGAGCAGCGTTCCTCAGGGGTCTGTGTTGGGACCGACACTGTTTAACAGGGTGCTGTTGGAGACATGGACAGGAGGACTGAATGCACCCTCAGCAAGTTTTCTGGCGACACCAAGCTGTGTGGTGTGGTCAAGATGCTGGAGGGAAGGGACGTGTCATCCAGAGGGACCTGGACAGGCTGGAGAGGTGGGACTGTGTGAACCTCATGAAGTTCAACACGGTCAAGTACAAGGTCCTGCACATTGTTCGAGGCAATCTCAAGCACAAATACAGGCTGGATGATGAGTGGATTGAGACAAGCCCTGCGGAGAAGGATTTGGGATTTTTAGTGGATGGAAAACAGACTATGAGCCAGCAATGTGCACTTGCAGCCCAGAAAGCCAATCGTGTCCTGGGCTGCATCAAGAGCAGTGTGGGCAGCAGGTCGAGAGAGGGGATTCTCCCCCTCTACTTTACTCTCATGAGACCCCCCCCACTGCAGTCCTGTGTCCAGCTCTGGGGCCCCCATCTTAAGAAGGACATGGATCTGCTCGAGCAGGTTCAAAGGAGGCCACAAAGATGCTCAGGGGGCTGAAGCACCTTCCCTTTGAGGACAAGCTGAGAGAGCTGGGGGTGTTCAGCCTGGAGAGGAGAAGGCTCCAGGGAGACTTAGAGCAGCCTCCCAGTACCTAAGGGGGCCTACAAGAAAGCTGGGGAGGGACTTTTACAAGGGCATGTAGTGATAGGACAAGGGGTAATGGTTTTAAACTGAAAGAGGGCAGATTTAGATTAGATGTAAGGAAGAAATTCTCCCCTGTGAGGGGGGTGAGGCCCTGGCACAGGCTGCCCAGAGAAGCTGTGGCTGCCCCCTCCCTGGAAGGGTTCAAGGCCAGGTTGGACGGGGCTTTGGGCAACCTGGGCTAGTGGAAGGTGGCCCTGCCCGGGGCAAGGGGGGGTGGGACTAAATGATCTTTGAGGTCCCTTTCAACCCAAACCATTCTATGATCAGTTAAAGGAAACTAAGTGTCTTGGAAAGGGTAAAAGCCAAACAGACAGAGACTGAGAGATTAACTGAAGGGGATGCAGATGGTGCAATGAACTTTTCAAACCACTTTTTCTGTATTCAGGGATGAAAAATTGCTCTCCGTACATCAACAGCATTCCATTTTCATGCAGTTTGAATAGTTGTGCGGGAATGTTATGTTACTGTAAGATGGGGCTCAGCTCATAGCTAAAGAAGATGGGACCTACAAAATAGAGGTACTGGAGAAGTTGGAAAAGATGGTCAATTGGTGAAACTCAGTTGTGCCCTAACTGTTATTATAAGGCTGAGAAATTATCATCACTAACACATGTCCATTTCATGAAGTACAGTGATTTACCCCCTGGAATGTCAATATGGGGGTTCTTACTAGTCCTGAAAAGAAGGAGAGTGAATGTATTAGAGCTCTTACCACCAGCACGATAAGAGACATCAGAAATGCCTGGAGTTTCATCTCCAGACAATCAAGCCATGAGCTAATGATGACCTTAGGCATCTTGCCTTAAATGAGTGACATGACTGACAAGCAGCCATCATGAGATATGCAAAAAAAAAAAAAAAGTGACAAGCTGAGACTAAAAAGAGAAATCCTATCAGATAATTACTTGGCAAGTTCTACTGTAAAAAGCAAAAATAGCCTGCCAGCAAAGAGCAGCTCAGTACAGTGGAGTTCAGGATGAATCCAGCGGATCAATTTGTGCAAAACGAACTTCAGCATTTTCTGCAGCCTTATCAGGAGCTGAGGGCTTTGTTCAGCAGTGGAACAGGGCACTTTCTGCGCATACCATCTGTGTTTTAATGCTGACTTATGAGTTAAAATGAATGGAAACATCCTAGCCAACAACCGAAAAAAACCTCAGAGATGTTGAGCTCAACATTTCTTTTCTTATACTGACACAGGTGTGCTAATGATAAATAGCAAATTGCTTAATCTCTCGGAACCACAAATTCTCCTCTATAAACTGGAAAAAAAAATTTCTTTTTTTTTTTTTTTTTTTTTTTTTTTACAGCATGGCAACACAGGGAGGTAGAAATAAATGGTGTTCCTAAAATGATAATGCAAATATTACCATCAAAGAGGAGACTGAAATTTTACATGAAAAAGAGAAGCTCCTTATCTGGGAGCTAGGGTTACTAGAGCAGAAGTAATCAGAAAGCCTCTCGGGGTCCAACAATACTGAAGGGCTTGAAGCACCTGGAGAAATTACTGTAGGAATGGAGCCACACATTTCACTTCTGGGTTGTCCAAGGGCTCTGACTGAGTCCTTGCAACCCTTTACAGATCTTCAGTCATCTCACACCTCCCAGTGACTCTGTTGGCCACCATTCACACTGGATTGTGATCATACATTGATGAGGAAAGCGATGTCAGACCCTGCAGGATCAAAGGTGTCCCAAGAACTCTGATCTCACATCTATCACTGTATTTTCTCATCCCAGTCTCCCTGTAAATGATTGTTTCAATACAATTAATTACATTCTTGTTGATGTTTCAGAAACAGCAATTTCACAGTGATTTTTTTTTCTTTGTTATATATTTCTCATCATCACTCAGATCCTATATACTTATAATCTTGCTTTAATCATCTAACTTTGCTTTTTTTCCCTACAGATAAGATGCCAAGAGTTCTGACGGACACCAAAATCCCTGTAAGATTTGTTTCTAGAACTTATAATTGTTCTCTAGCAGATTAAGTGAAAAAAATACTCAGGCTCTACCAGAAAGTCTTTGGCCCAGGCCGCTGAATTAGAAGCGACATCATGTAACCAAAGATTGCCATACTGAAAACAGGGCATGGAGAACTTACACAACAGTGAGGACCTGGGGATTTAGCTCACATGATGTCAACCGCAGATCCTGCTCAAGCAATGCTGAATGCTGATGTCCACATCTATTAAATGTGTTTACTAAACTGTCTCATTATCCGTTTTGTGTCAGGATTTCTTTAGGGTGTGGTAGAATTGGACAGATGGGCTTCAAAACCTTCCTTCAGGCAAGGAACAGTCAGGATCAGACAGATGGGCTCCAAGAAGTTACCTTTAGGCCTTGAACACATGGGAAGAGAAGGAGGAAGGGGAAAAAAGGCATGCACTCCCAGTTTTATAAGCAAGCATAGAAGCCAGTATAAGATGTGGGAAACTTGCAGAGTCTCTACCCACCCATCATCTCACAGCTGAAACAAGAGCAAGGATAGCTCTCCAGGAGATGCTGGACTACGATTCAACAGCTGCAAATACCTGTTTGGCTTTTAATATCATTACTACTCACAGATGTGCTGGAGGGGAATTTGTGCAGCAAAGAAATGCCTCAATGTCTTTTTTTAATAAGTGTTTTTAGCAATGAACACATGCTTTTTCTTAAAGCCAATATGAAACCATATTTGAACTACAATATATATATATATATATATATATATATATATATATATATATATATATATATATATATATATATATATTAACCTCCCAGATTAGACTTTCAAACGTCTTTTTCCAAAGGAACACACTAGACAGCGAAATAACTCTTTTGGCCAGTACTGTATTAGCTAAACAGTCCCTCGAGATTAACAACAAACAAATATTGGAGCAGACTTCCTCAGGAGGTGATTACACAAACAAATTCTCTTTTTAAAGTTCATGAAACCAATCTTGAGAAAGGTCAAACAGTGATCAACAATGTGATCCCAGCGTCCTAAGGATTCCTGCAAGTAAATACAATGCCTGGCTTTAGGAACCTTGATATTTAAAGGGAGTTATGCGAGTAATTACTTCTGTGTGAAAAAACACCAATCCTGTCCACTGCAAATAATGTGAAACAGCTCCAGTGTCATCGGGGACTCTGAAACCACTGAAATTGGGGGCAAGATGGTACCTCCCAGAAGTCCTGGTGCTCATCTCTACAGAGGGATGAGAGGAACAAATGTGCTGAATTCAGCAGTGCCAGTTTCATGCCCCAGCAGGATTTCCAGGCACTCTGGGGATTCTCCATGACTCTGTTTATGTTGGCTTTAAATAGTTCTGTGTCACCTAGAAAGCGTCTTACTAATGCCCACAGACACCAGGCACTGCCTGAACACTAAGGTAGATCCTGCCCTGAGGAATTACTGTCTCATAAAGCAACCTCACGTGAAGCAGGCAGGACTTTTACACATCCTAGATAAAATTTCATGATGAAGAGTATTGCCATTAGCTTCAGTGGGGTGAAGACAGCTGTATTTATAATATGTTGCTATTAAATGAACAGGTAATTAGCTCTAGTGGATAATCATTGCGTTTAGCACAGATTCTGAGTGTCCACATTACAGATATCCAGATAGCTACGGGACATTAGGATGGCCAGCATGTTTACAGTAACACTACACAGTCTTCCCACTTTCTCTGTCTATCGGGAGCAGAAATAAACCCCAGAAGACAGGCTGCTCACTTACCCACTTTCAGCATGCCCCCCACCACCACAATACAGGCTGCACTCAGGGCATTGCTGGAGTTGCTGGGGAACTCAAGGGTCCCCAGGATGTAGAGACCTCTCAGAGGGGGAAGAGCCATATCCACCAGGATGGTCCTATCTGCAAAACAAAGCGAAGGGTTGTTTAGAATGGCGGCAGCCTACCAACACTACATACCCAGAAGTGTGGCAGGGAGGTGAACAATGTTAGCTTTGCCTGTGTTTTGCTTTATTTAGATTGGGTTTGCTTAGAGCTACCGAGGCAGGGCTTGTGTGCTTGTGCAGCATCCACAACCAGACCTTCATCTATAGCTGAGGCTCCGTGGCGTGGCTGTAATCTGGTAAATGAATAATAATATCGTATTTTTACATGCTTAAGTCTCATCATTGCTTGAACCTTTGAGAATGCACGTGAAGGGCAGCAAGAGATATGTTAGTCTCACTAGATGAATCTGGCTCCATTTATGAAAGTAAATCTTGATCATCTCATGCAATGAACCAGGACTAAGTTAAGTTGTGTTCAGGCAGCAATTTTCCCTCATGGCATTCAAGAGAACAAGACTGATGTAAGTGAAAAAATTGAAGTGTCAAATAGGTGTTTCATGGCACAAAGAGCCTGCAGGTCCCCACCTTGTAACCAGCAGTGGTCAGGGTGACAAGCTGAAGCACACACACCATAACCTACCTCCCATGACACCCTGTCACTGCTTTTCCCCCTCTGCAGTTTGGCTTTGCTCTCCCAGGTTTTGTGTATAAAAGCCCATCTCTTCCTTGCCAACCAAGAGGAAAGCTTTGCTTACTCCAACACCATCTGCAGGAAGCCAGACTTCTTCAATTCTGTATTCAGATGACTACTCATTCCCTACTAATAAACCAGTTAACAGTGACCAGGTGAAGCACCATTCCCTCAGATCCTTAAGGACAAAACAAGGAACATATTTTCACTTTGCAGAGCAGTGCGGGGACTGTGGTTGATTGCACACAATGGCAGCATCACTGTTGCCTCCTAAAGCTGCAAGTCTACAGCCTGTGAATCTTTTAAATGCCACTTAAGCTTCCCAAGTGGGACATGAGGAAGGATGTGAATGGTGTATCGTTGAGAGGTAGCCCACTGCTCAGAGGTGAATTCCACCCTCAGGGCCCATGTAATACTTTGATGTCACTGGGAGCTTTTCAGTTGATTGCACTGGAAAACAGTTCAGACCCTTAAATTGTGGTTTCCATCTCCTTTCATTATTGACAAGAGTAATAGTTTCCAGGTATGGTGCATCTCTGAGTCACTGGATTTCTCTGGAAGAAGGAAAAGCAAGGTATTTCCTTAACATTAAGGTATTTCCTTAACATTAAGGTGACACCTTAACAGAGTTTAATGACATAATCTAATTGTGATTTTCATAGAAATAGCTTGTAGGAAACAAGAATCTCCAACATAATGACAGCTGCCAAATCCTACCCAGAGATTCGTTGTGATTTTCATTGATCTATGTGTTTACTGTGAGGCACAGATATACAAAACAGGAGAGATTAAGGAACACACATATTTTCCAGTGGATTTCGACAGAGCAGTGGGAATACGCTACTTGAAACTGTTTTGGCGTGGAACATAGGAAGAGCCATAAAATGCCTTGGGAAGTGGATCGGCTACTTCACAGTTTTGCTTCTGCCTATATGCATTAGGAACTGCTTTGGATGAAAACACAAATGACCATGCAATAGGTAGCACAAAGAAAATCCTCTCGCAAAAAACATGTAATTAGGGGCTGACTCAAACTGTTTAGCGCAAAGGTTTAAGAATTTTTTCAAGCCCTGTTTGCAGGAAACATAATGAAAACCTACATGAAGTACACTCAGAAGCAGACTGAAAAAAATTATGAGTAGGCTGTCTTTAATAATAGCGTTTCCTAATGTTTGATTCTTTGGCTTTGCATCTCTGAAGTTTCACAGCTTCGGGGGAGAGGAAATGTCTGCGTAGTCTGGGTTCCTCCATCTGCTTGCAGATTTGTTTGTCTCTTCTACATACATGTTCTTACTCTATCCCTGTAACTCAATCATCCCACCTCTTCCTTTCCCTTTTATTTTTTTATTTCTTTCTCTCTGGACATCAGCAAGGGACATCCTGAAAACCCAGGACCTCTGTTCTCAAAGAATACACCAAGCACTGCAGCAACCCATGGTTACTCTGAACACCTCATCTCAAAAGATATTCCCTACATCCTTGGGCTTAAATATCTTTCAAGCCTGGAAAATTTTCACAGCATTCAGATGCAGTAAGTCTCTACAGAGCAAGTGCAATCTTTTTGTTTTGGTGGGTTTTTTTTTTCCCCCTAAATTGCATGCTGTTAGTAGTCAATACATTTTTACAGGCACGAAGTCCTGTCTATAATCTCTTTACAGAACAGGTATAGTCCTATGCCCTGCAGAGGTGAGAAGTGAAGGCACAGTATGTGAGGATATGAAACAGAAAAGAGAATAAGAGGAACGATGGTGTTAAAATGGTATCTCTCAGACAGAAAGGGAATCTAGTTTGTGAAATCACAGCTCAAGAATGTGGCAAAAAGCTGCAGTTGACAAAGGCCATAAGTATATTCATCAAACACAGACTGAAACATTTTTACAAGGAAAAGAAGAAATGCTCCTAGGCATACCATTTATATGTCAAGTTTCAGCCTAGAACAGATATTTTTGCTGAGTTGCACATCTTTCTAAAAAAGGATTTATGAAAGAAATGCTGACTGATCTGTAACAGTAGCATCATGTATGTGAGCCTTGAAACACAGGAGTGAGAAATTCCCCTATTCAGAGATACCTGCAGACCTATAGTTTCCTCGGTTTAAAAGAACAACACTCTGGGGTGTGATACTTGCGATGTGAAGTCCTCAGAGGGTGAAATGTTGCTCTGTAGAAACAACAGAACACTCCTTTGAGAATAAAAAAAAAAAAAAAAAAAAAAAAAAAAAAAAAAAAAAAGTCATCCCACACTCGAGGAGAAAAGCAAATAGATTCAAAGGAGACTTCCTTACCCTGTCCTTACAGAATACGCTCATTTATACAGCAGAGGGAGATGATGACTAAGCGGTTAAAATCATAAACTTTAGGTCACCGAGCTCAAGGGATTTACCTTCAGAGAAAGACAAAACGGAGTTGTTTTTCTCCCATGAAGATGTTCATATAATGGCAAGCAACCACGTTCAGCAAACCATAGTTTGAGCCTGAAAACAGGGCTACATTTCATTATACTTTCTTCAGACAAAAGCTCACAGGTATGCCACAGTCTTAATGTTCAGACGTACAATACTGAGAAGTCACTAATGACTCCAGCAATGACACAAAATGCCTTTGATCAGCTGCATTGCTATATAAAACACCATAGCATGCCATTGAATGGAAATCAGGCACAACAGAAGAGCTATTATATGAGATACAGTACTCCAGCATTCATCTCTTCAAACAGAAAAGGTTCAAAGAAAATCAAAATCAGAAAATGAATAACAGAGTGAATTCCACCACTGGAAAAAAAAAAAAAAAAAAAAAAAAAAAAAAAAAAAAAAAAGAGAGAGAGAAATTGCCAGAGGCTACATGATATCATATCAATACTCTTCAAAACAGCATTCCATTGCCTGGAATTATAACACATTCTCCTTCCACCCAGAGCACGCTGCTTCAGGAGTGTGTCACACTGAAAACCATAAACCAAAGCCCTGAAAAATCCCAGGGCTTGGGAAGCTAATGCCACTGCTGGCGGCCAGAATGGCATGACTAAACTCATCCAGCTTGTTTTTCAAGGTGATGTGACTGCTGAAGCCTGATGCATGCATGAGAGGTCCTTGTGGGATGTCTGTGGCTCTGGAGGATGAACCTCCAGAGATAAAAGCACAAGTTGTTGCAGCTTGAGCTAAAAAATTCCAGCTGGGCCTGGAAGAGACTTCTATCTGTTAGGGAGCCAGACACTGAGGGGACTTGTAACACACCAACATTAAAAGTCAGTTTAATATGAAGGACCCACCTCCGTTGTGACACTTATCCTTGTACAAAGTCTACGAACTCCTGAAGACTCACCAATGCTTTCAAAACAGGGCAAAAAATGGAATAACTTAGTATACAACCCCATTTCCAAGCACTCTAAAAAGCACCCTCTAGATGTCAAGAAGACATCAAGCAGCAACACAAAAAAACCCAAACCAACAGTTTTTAACATTAATATTTTGCTAATAAAAGTGTTTTCTAGTTTTTCAGACTTACCTGAGTACAGCCCATGACGCAGCCCTAAAGGTGCAATTTTGTTTATTTTTTTAAATAAGCAAAATGAAACCTTCATCAGCTCAGTCTAAGCAGTGCCCTGGCTCTTCAGTGAACTCTGGGATTCCACATTGGTTCAGAGATTGCAACAGCGTCAGGCCCAGACCGAAGCCTTCCCTTGCACTTCTCCGCACTAGAAATGAGCACTAAACATCTATTATTTGTTTTTATAAGACTCTAATGCTGTTCTTCGGGGGCTGAAAGGACTTGCTCAATAATGCACAGCATATCAGATGTAGGCACAAGGCTTGGCTTGGCTTGGCTTTCAACCTGAAAATCATTATGGATGTCTCCCAGAAGAGAATTATAAGTAACTAAAAGACAGTGAAGAGCGAGACACGCAAAAACTTATTTTGGTGCGTACAGTAGCCCAAAGTCTGGGTGGTTTGCAGAACACTTGTTCTCATGAGAGCAAACTCATTTTTCTGTAGCCATCTGGAGTCGTTCTGATTTTAGCAGGATATTCATAAGCCAGTGGAGATGGGAAGGGAAAAATCCATAAAATGTTTTCAATTAAACATACATTTTAAAATTGTCAGTTTAATTTTAGATTACGGATCCAAGCTTAACTACGTTTTAGGTGCCTTCATTTGAGCAACGAACCCAGTGCCCTTATCACACCAATAATTACTACAACTCCAGTTTAAGACCCTGCACTCTGTTGACTCACACAGTCAGTAAGTGTTTCAACACCTTCAAGCTAGCAAGAATGACGAGGGAGAGTAAAAAGAAAGTAGAGGGAAGTTGATCAGAAAAGGCAGGCATGCAACAGAGCAGTTGTCTCAAAATAGGTTGGGTGACAGACAGCTTGTGTCCATGTTTCTGCTCATGTTCTTGGGCTAAAATTGAAGGAGAATTCCAGAAAGGCACTGGGGACGAGAACAGCTCCTGCACACCAGCTAAACGCACGTGTCTACTCTAGTGATGGGAGCTAAGAGATTTTTATCACTGGTAGAAAGAAGACAGTTGCAGGGTATGGCTCTCCGCTGTTCGTAGCAGGCAGTGCATTTTCACTTATCATTTCCTTCTTTCCTTTTCATGCATTAAGTATTTTCTTGTGGTTTTGCAGTTCAGCAAAGCTCCTCTGAAGAGCAGAAACAGTTTTACTGTACACTGTGGAGCACCCTGCTCTAAGCTGCTGAACGCTGTGATCGGAACTGGGAACTCTCAGGGTCTCATCCTGCTGCTCAGGCACCAACTTGTGTTCTGAGTTTGAGCAAGCTTTATTGTCCTGGCCCCTCAATTCCTCATAGGCAGAGAATATTCCTGTTCACAGTAAACACAGGTTGTGTCTAACAGCCCAATCCTTACCCTGCTACCTCCCAACCAGTAGGCACCAGTATGCAGAGAGCATACCTATACCACACCCCGCAGCAGAGTGCAGACATTCCCCAGTTAAACTGACCAAACCAGCGCTGCTCTAAATTCGTGAGACATTAGTTCTGACCCCAAAGGCTGTGCGGTCATGCTGCACGGTGCCAGGCCTGAGCTAATGAGCTTTGCCTCTCAGGAGAGCTAATTAGTTCTGGTATACCAGCATGCTGATGCAGCGGTATTGTTTCCAGTCCTGGAACTAGATCAGTTGGGTTGGGCTGTGGGCAGCAACGAGCAATGATTCAGGCACAGCCTAGTCATGAAGGGCCCTGTGGTACGTGACAAAGGCCACAGTCAGTATCCCATGTGGCAGCTTAAATGAGTTATTTTACTGAGAGGATTACACTCACCTTTGCAGGAAGCACAGTTTTATTTATAGGCAAGTTTGCAAGGCAACAAAGAACCATCGCAACCTCAACATCCAGCTTCCACTCTCTTCATCTCATCTAAACAACAGAAATCCAAATCCTTAGCCAAACATTTTCATTTATTTATCATTAAATTTCTGCTTCTCCGTAAATTATTTACCTCATATGACCATCTAGTCACACTCCACATAATTAACTCACTGTGACTGAAGAGGCCTTGGCTACCAGTGGCACTTCTGTGTCTCTCCATATCTGCATCTGACATGTGACTTTGAAGACTGAAACGATCTGGTCTTTTGACAATCATGGGCTGATATTGGTGAACTGGTTATAATGCGATACACAGGAAGCTGAAACTTCTATCCCTGGCCTTGTTCTTGGAGAGCTATGAAGGACAAATACGCAATGACGTGCAAAATTCAACGATGCCAAGAGAATCCGAAAGAGAGAAAAGCACATAGGAAATGCCCCACTCTTTAATGCCTGCATAAAGGGTCAGATATAACAGAGATGATAATGGAGTAGAAGCCAGGGAGCTGAGGGTAGGACAGAAAAGACACTTTCTGTGTTTCTGAATGGCAAGCAGGCACACGTTCAGCATGAAGTCCTGGTGGTGAAGCTGGAGAAATGTTGTTGGAAGAGGAAAGCAAGTCCAGCATTTTGGATGCTGCATTTGGACTTTGGAGATTGAGGGAGAATCCCCTGTTCTGGTACAGCTTCCCACTGGTAAGACTTTTACATGGATTCACTGCTGCTTATGTTGTCAAGGGACACAGGTCTACCTCTGCATCCCTTGACAGTGTATGGTTCAGAGGACATATATTAACTGCAAGCCAGGTTCATATCTCAGGTGCTGCTGAACATGCTCTGGAGAAATGAGGCTCAGGCCTTAATTTATGGTGCCTGAACCGAGCTGTCAGATGGGAGCTAGGTGCCTAACCTCCCAACATGGTAAATTAATTTATGCATTTGGTACTATCTGAAATGACCTTGGATATTTGAGACCTCACATGGGACTGTCAAATACAACATAGGGGTCACCTTTGACCACCTAGAGTTTCCCCTAGCTAGGCAGGATGCTCCTGGAGTGCTTCAGACAACACTAGACATCTTCATATGAGCAATAGACTTGAGCTCTGGAGCTCTACCATCAGTGGAGAGCAACTGAATTCACATTAGGTACCCACATTTGGTCAGCTCCATAACTCTTCCAGCTCTGTTAACTGTAACGACAATGTCTAGGAGGCATCCACGGCAACTGGCTTGAGAGATTATCATTGATAGTGGGAATTGCACCAGGAAAATAAAATGGAAGCTGGTACAATTGTGGAAATGTAAAATAAGCTCCCTGCACAAAACACATTGTGCTTGTTTGACAGGAAAGGGGGATCGAATCAGCAAATGGAAATTATCTACTCCAATTCAATGTAAATTTAAAAAAAAAAAAAAAAACACCAAAAAAACCAAAAAAAATGAAGAAAAGCATTGTTTCAAATAGTATAGGATTTTTTTCCCCATTTAACAGAGTACTGAAGATTAAACTAAATGTCTATTGGAGGTTGAACATGATTCTTAATTTAACTTGAAATTATATGTGTATATATTACTTTTAATGACACAGGACAGAGAAACCCTAACCATGACTAGGACTCCATGCCCAAATGCCAACACAAAGCAACAGAAACTTCCTCCCACAAAAACATCATAAGCCGAAACCAGGTGGAAGAGGAAGAGAGATAGAACAGTGCTTTCCCCATTTCCAGAAGTGGAGCTGTGGTAGCTAGAGACACTTACCTGGTTTCAAACAAATGAAGAGGAGACAGCACCGGGTCCTAGAGTATGTCGGGTACATACCACACAATATTCATATGACCATACAATAACTATGTCTGGAAGGGACCTCAGGTTCTCATCTAGCTCAACTTCCTGATCAAAGCAGGGTCAGCTATCATGTAAAATGGTTATCACAAGTTTTATCCTCCAGATTTCATTGCAAGCTGCCTAATATACATTTGCTAGAATTCAGAAGTTTGTTCATGCAATAAGGTTGTAAGCTGAGCTGGGATTTAAATATAACTGAAGTCTGAGGTTGAAATACAGGCTAAAATGTCTAGGAGGCATCCACGGCAACTGGCTTGAGAGATTATCATTGATAGTGGGAATTGCACCAGGAAAATAAAATGGAAGCTGGTACAATTGTGGAAATGTAAAATAAGCTCCCTGCACAAAACACAGAGGTGGGTCAAGAGATGAGCTCTTTGTGAGCTGTGATTCTGGGTCTTGCAAATTCTCTGCTCCGGAAATAAAGTCCTCACTTAGAATATCAGCATGAGTAAGTGTGTGTGTATGTGTAAATGGAAAACAATTATTATTCTCTTCCAAAAATCACACTTTTGTACTGTAGCTGAGATTTCAATGTGACAAGGAACAAATGTGGTGTCCTGCACACACTAGAATGGCCACTAGTGCCAAGGAGCCCACACTGAAACACAAATACATATCCTAACGTAGACAGAGCCCAACACCCCGACAGAAATTTAACCCTTACTAGGTAAGATGATGACATCTTCCCCAGGGCCTGGGATGCTGCAGTTGAATCCACCCCAGCCTTTTTCCACATCATTCCATGTCTCTGGGCGTGACCATTTCAAGACTGCATCAGAAGGAACTACAAAACAGGACATACAAAGACAGAATTATCATTTTCAGTAGCTGGAAGAATTACCATTTCTTTGATAGTCGAGCATCTGTGGCATTAACATCCTCCTTTTGTCACTGATGAAGCAACACTAACTGCTCTTTGTTATGTTCCATGCTTAAAGGAAGCTGCCTGATGGGAAAAAAAAAAAATAAAAAAAAATATCTCTCCCAGGACCATGTTTTCAGAGTTAAAGGGCAGGGAGATAAATGGGGAAAAAAAACAAAAAACAAAAAACCACCCAGGTTCAAATTCTTTGGGACCCATCAAAACCAAAGGAAACCTTGAGCTTTGTCATACTTAGCTTATGTTATGCCTTGTTGAAGATGCTTCTCAAGCAACTGCTTCATTATTTTTATTTGTGTCATCCAAATCTCTGAGCACTCTGAACACAAAATTAGGATGAACAAATGAAAATATAAGCCAGTCACCTGTGCTTGGTGGCAAAACCAGATGATGACAATGGTAAGCAACTCTATCAAGAAGTGCCAACTCTTCTCATGCATTTTTTTTGCTCCCCCAGTGCTCTAGAAAGCAGATTGAATTCCCAGGGCATGGGAATTTCCATACTTCCCCAAAGTGAAACAGTTTTAAAAATGAGTGATCAACTCTCAGGAGCTTGTTAGCCCTCAGAAAAGCAGGAGTCTTCCCCTTGCGAGGGGTAATTAAGACCTGCCTTGGAAAAGCAGTTTGACCGTGATGTGACCGAGGCAACTCCTGCTCCTTCCCCAAAGAATTATTTTCCAGCTTAATCCAAAAGGAAACTTTTAAGCCTTAGCATCAGGAAAATATTGGGAGAAATTCAGATCACAAAATGTAGGTGCTTAACTTGCACTTGTATTTTAGACAGCTAATGAGCCAGCCGTCATAAATTAATTGCCTAAGTTTGTTCTGCCATCAAGAGAGGAAGAAAAGCCTTCAAGGGGAAATCCTGCACACTAAGTTGAGTAAGCTCTAAACTAATGCAGGCAGGGCCTCCCTCTGGAGGCCTCTACAAGCACCTACCTCTGTCCTGCCACTGTAAAGGAAATTCTGGCATTTTTCTTCTTGAGCAGACTTTGTTAGGTATTGGAAACACAGGGGCAAGCTCATGCCTAAATGG